TTCTTCTTCTTCTTCTTCTTCTTCTTCTTCTTCTTCTTCTTCTTCTTCTTCTTCTTCTTCTTCTTCTTCTTCTCTTCCTCTTCCTCTTCCTCCAACTCCTCCTCCTCCTCCTTCTCCTCCTCCTTCTTCTTCTTTTTTAGAGATGTATGTGTATGAGTGTTTTGCTCGCATCTGTACGATTACCACATGCATGTCTGGTGTCCATGGAGACCAGAAGAGAACACTGGATCACCTTACACTAGAGTTCCTAATGGTTGTGATTTTCCTAATGGGTGCTGAGAACTGAACCCAGGTACTCTGAGCAGCCAGTGCTGTTAGCCATCGAGCTGTTTACCTAGCTTTGAATGCCTCTTAGCTTTTGTTTTGAAAACTCTCTCTCTGTCTCTCTGTGTGTGTACACACATGCGTGTAAAGTCTTAGTAGCAGATGGTTACATGCGGTAACCACTTCTCTTCACTCCCTGCCAGCCCTCCTCCCCGCTTCCCCAGCCCCTTCAAACATTTCCTCCAACCATTCCTCCCTCTGTCCCCAACAGTCTGCTTAAACAGTCCCTTCTCCCAGTTTTCCCAGTATCAGCAGCTCCACACTGTAACATCTGCTCTCACCCATCTGCCCAGGCCAGCTCTCCTGGCTCAGCTCTCTCCTAACAGTACCTTCCGACAGATGCCTCTCCCCACTCTGTTCTCCCACTTCCCTTTCTCAGCCTCAGCTAGGTTTTTAGTTAGTTATTCTTTACATCTCAGTCATCGCCCCTCCCTCCTCCCTTGCTTCTCCTCTCCTCTGTTCCTCCCTACTTCTCCATTCCTCCTCCCCTGACTTTCAGAAAAGGGGACATCATCCCCCAAACCCACCCCAGCACCTCCATTCACATTAGGACTGTGTTCTCCCTCTTTCACATTATCCTGGCAAGGCGGTCCCCACCAGAGGGGAGTGATTGAAAGTCGAGACCATAGAGACCATGTCAGAGCAGATAGCCCACATCTCCTTTCTGGGGTCTCACATAAAGGCTAAGCTGCCCATTGGGTATACATCTGTAAAGGAGTATATATGTCTAGTAATGAATGGTCTTTGGTTGATGCTTCACTCTCCAAAAGCCCCTCTGGTCCCAGGCTAGTTGTGACTGTTGGTCTTCTTGTAGCGTTGCTGTTCCCTCTGGGTCCTTCTATCCTTCCCCCGACTCTTCGACATGGCTGCCTACACTCTGCCTAGTATTTGGCTGAGTCTTGTTTTTTGTTGCTGTTTTAACTCATGCATTGCTGGGCAGACCCTCTCAGAAGACAGCCATGCTAGGCTCCCATGCACAAATACGGTAGAGCATCACCAATGGTGTCAGGGCTTGGCTCTCTCCCATGGAGTGGGTCTCAGGTTGGCTAGGCACTTGTTACACATTCCCTCAATCTCTGCTCTATTTTTATCCCTGCACATCCTGTAGGCAGCGTAAGTTGTGGGTGGGATGTTTTTGTGGGTGGGTTGGTGTTCCCCTCTCTACAACAGGAGTGCTGTCTGGTTTGAGGGTAGCCTTTCCAGTCTCAATGACTCTTGCCACCAGTGGTCTCATCAGCTAGGTTTTTTTTTTTTTTTTTTTTTTTTTAAATAATCTAGCCTGTTTCCAGATATCTAAAAGGCAACCAACAGTGAC